ATAAAAGTATTGTTCAACATATCTTACAAGGAAGGGGTTTTTACTTCTCGTTGGCAGATTGCTCTCGTTCAGCCTATTCCCAAAAAGAGCAACAAAATTTTTTCAAATAACTACAGACCAGTTGCATTGCTATCAGTGATATTAAAAATCGTAGATAAAGCTGTAAACCACCATAACCTCAAATATTTCGAAAACTTCAACATATTGAGCGACCTTCAACATGACTTTCAGAAACAAAGATCAACAGGCGACCTTCTATCGTATGTCACCTATTTTTGGAATAGCGCAATCGAGAAACATGGAGGATCCACCTGATTCGAGATGCGAACATCACTTGCAACCTTGATAGTCTGGTACATCTGAGAAATATTAGAGATTTGCCTCTCTCCTATAGATACTTTGACGAGAAGTGTTAAAGTAACTTGACATATTTGATTCCACCAAAAGCGCTATACAACAAAAATACGTAACGGAATATGGCTGCTCATCTTTTTGAGGTTCAACTCAGTATACCTGGAACTTCACTGTTTGAGAACTCTTCCATTTGTAGAATTGCGTTTAAGACAATAAACTTCCTGAGAACGTTTTTCCAAATGGATTCAATCCCCAGCAATTCAAATCCAATGTAAATCGCTACTTTCGCATAGGCACCGCTGTTACGGCGTCTTAAGGATTTTTCTGTAGTGCTTGTGTTCTGTTCTTCTCCTTTTTGAATACATATTTTTTTTTCTTATTTGACGGCATGCCCCAGACGACAATTTCTCTTCTATATGCGATAATACGGTGTACCTCTAACCTTGGAAGCTATATCAGAGGGTACCCCTAACCTTGGAACCGATAACACCGTGTACCTTGCCAGCCACTCATGCCAGCGAAACGTCAGAAAACAGTTTCAAAAGATGGCTGTGAAAACCTAAATTTTCACATTGCCAATTACGTTAATCCGGAACATAAATTTTAAAAAATTACCTTGAATATTCAAAAAACTTGTAACGTGAAGAAATTATCAGTAGTGGAGCTCTTTTTACTGCAGAACCTTGATACTGTATCTAGATAGTATTAGAGGGAATTAAACTTCCATAACGTTGAAGTGTGTAGAGAGATGAAATATTATCATATTGTATTATTCAATTCCATATACGTCAAGTTATTGCCTGATTTGGTGTTGTTTCTCTTATTTAGTGATAACTATTGGTGGATAGGTGGTTTATCTACACTTCTTCAAATCTTGTTGACGTGTGAACTGAAACTTAACTCCTTATTTCTGCCCTGTCATTTATAGTGCTGATTTTCCGCACACGTTTACTAACGGCGGGTTCGCACATACTTCTCGCGTGATTTGCATGACTTGATTTCGTTTTGTCGGTTTTCAGATTTTTGGTAGATATGTTCTCTCTTCCTTTCTGTTGTTCTCTTGGTGTTTGTGTATTTCTATGGATTCTAAATACATTCTTGATTCGACGTTGCTAGCCTCTCGATATTTTCGAACAGGATTTTGTGTTTCCCGTCGGAGAGTGCATGTTCAGCGACTGCAGACTTCTCAGTCTATTACAATCGGCAACTGAGCTCATGCTCGACTAGACGGGTACCAATGTTTCTTTTCGTGTGACCGATATAGACGTTACCACAGTTACATGGAATCCTGTAAACTCCTGCTGATTTGGTTATGTTGAGGTTATCAATAGTCAAATAATATTGTTACTTGGAAAGAGTAAAGCAGATGGAATGTGAGAAACAAAAAAACGTTTTATTTTACGGTAATTTGAATACATGGTGTTCTAGCAAAACGAACAGAATTGTGGCTAGAAATATTACTCAATGGTTGTGATGAAGTGAAGTATTTGGACATTTACCCATTTGGTGGAGATGAAATTAGGTTTCAGCAACACCGCTGTTGGGATTGAATTAATTTATGATTGATTCCTACCAATCTTCTCGTCTTGGTTGCAAACCAGGATAGGATTGAGGAGTATTCGGAAACGCAATTTGAAGAAACGTATTTGAACACAAAAACAATTCACAATTTATCTAATACAACAAACCACCTTCTGCATATTTTTTTTCTTTTGAAATTCCGTTTCGTGATCGAATGATTAATTTAAAATGTACTAATATTTAACTGCGTTGATCTATAATCCAAACCATCAGCGGTGTTGCCAAAAGCAGATAAATGTCCAAACATTGTCTCGGCCCTGAAAATTCCGCAAAAGAGTCAACGTGGGGTAATGTACTGAAGTTAATGCTTCCGGGATCTGGGATTTGCAGATGGTCGAAATAAAGGCCTTGAGTTCAACAGTGCTTCAATGGCCAGAGTTTGAAACTCTGGCCATTGAGGAAGCCACGAGGCTGGTTGAGATACGTGGACGACACCTTCATAATATGGAACCATGGGAATGTAGCACATCAACAACGTAAGTCCTTTCATCACTTTCATAATGGAGAAGGACGTTCACAACGAATTGCCATTCTTAGACGTATTGGTGAAGAGGACCGAGACGAAATGGGAAACATCTGTGTATCGAAAATCCACTGACACAGGACAGTATCTGAACCAAGAATCCAACCATCATCAATTGAGGAATCATTAAGACTCTACTAGACCGTGCTTCCAGACTCTGTAATACAAAGGAAGGCCTCGAAAAGAAACTAGTCATAAAGCTCAGATCAGAGCTTCTTTGGAGTATTGTTCTACTCTATGGAGTTCCGCCCCTAAACATACCATAAAGCTGCTGGATTCCACCCAGAAAAGAGACATCCGCCTGATTGAAGACGCAAACATCACTTGCAACCACGATAGCTTGCAACATAGAAGAACGGTTGGAGATTTGTCTCTTTTCTATAGATACTTTCACGGAAAGTGTTCAAGTGACTTGGTACATTTGATTCCACCAAGAGCGGTACATATCAGAAATAAGCGACACACTGTGGCTGCTCATCGTTGTGGGGTTCAACTCAGTACACCTCCAACTTCACTGTTCAAGATCTCTTTCATTGGATAAGTTCGTTTATGTGGAATAAACCTCTTGAGAACGTTTTTCCAAATGGATTTAATCTCCAGCGATTCAAATCCAATATGAATCATTACTTTCGCATAGGCACCGCTCCTAGAGCGCCTAAGAGATTTTCCTGTAGTGCTTGTGTTTTGTCCCTAAAAAAAATAAAATTCGACAAGCACAATGTAAATTATCAAACATTGAGACGTTCAAAGCTTGTTCTTACATGTTTTGTACGTTTTAGTCTACTTACTTTCCTATACACTAACGAAGACAATGAAACTCGCATTCTCATCCCAATGCGAGCGAATCCAAAATTGGCGTGGTGTAACAAAAATATTGAAACCGAAGAGATTCCTACTAAAAGTGCACTATATAGATACATTTCAGTAATCTTTTCAGAAGAATCAGGAGACGTAAATAGTGATATCAAATAGGAGAGTACAATTGGTTGTGTCGTTCTGGAAATGAAATGAGAATCAATACATGGTTCTGAATCTTATGTAGATAGAAATTCAGTTCAAGCTAATTTTCAGTCACAGTTATTGGAATGTAAAGTCCGAAAATGATAAAATAAGGAAGTTGAAAGCTAAATGTATTTATTCACGATCAACATAGAAAATGACATATTCCGTACTACTTTTCGAAACTGAAAGTGATGAAGTTCATATACATTCGCCAAGTAAACTGTATGTAATTTTACTTCACACTACCTACCGTTCCTGCTCGCTTTTGTGAAACTGAAGAAAATGAGACTTCTTGACTTGGTTGGTTTAATGAATATATCTACGATTAACATAGTAACATAATGGGTAACAGTTTTTTTAGATTTATGTCATGCAGTAAGCCATTATATTCATCAATTACGTAAAGGGATCAGAATGTTTATAATTGACTAGAATATGTAAACAAAGATTCATGACATATTTTGAACTTATTATGGATCTCACCTGAATAGAATAAGATCTACAGCAAACACAATTCCAATCATCATATAGTCGTAGAGAAATGTTTTCATTATAGCTCGCATCAGACTAGGTTTATTACCATTCAATTTTGCTCTTTGTGTCTCATTGTTCCAATGCGTTTCTAGTTTATTCCCTAACGTATGTGATTTGTCATCATCTAGGGCTTTGTACATATTGCTTTTTTCCTTTATTTGAAAGATTTCCAAATTTTTTTGTTTGAAGATCAAGAAGTAGAAAGTCCAAATCTTTCATTCCCGAAAAACATATTACGATTGTGATAATCACGATTCTTCTGATGACTCGTCTACTTGATCCTGAATCTACTTGACTGTACTTCAGTAGGTAGAAGACTTTCGAGAGTAGTTTTTGAATAAAAATTACTTATTTTTTTACGAAATAAAATCTCAATTGGTATATTTATGATATCGCGATTGAGAACCTCTCTGATATACTTTACTGCAATCCACAGTAGCCTCTTTTGACATTACGCTTGAAGCTAACAGGTTTTTCCAAACAATGTATCTGCGCAATAATATTTTGTGTCATTGGAGGCCTAGGATATATTTTCTTCACATGTAGTTTAACTGAGTCTTAACAAAAGGATTCAATTTTTCAGTTGACACACCAAGAAGAGTACTTCGACCACGCCACTGAAGATGACAGCCGCAGTTGCAGTTGAAACGTTTGGATTGTTACCAAAGAAGTGTTGTCTTGAGTTTGAAATTGTTTATTGCTCGTTGTACATAGTGCCATCAATGTTAATCTTTGTCATAATATTGAAACCATATTCTTGGCAACACTGTAAGATAAAACTAATATAGTCAGTCTTTTGATCGCAGTGAAAGAGTGTGTGTTATTATTTTTGACTTCCTCCTCAACCCAATTCTTAAAGTTTCACAATAGGTTATGAGCCCAGGTATTCTTATTTCCTGTGTGTATTGCAGAAGTTGAAACGTTAAATCGTTAACTAGTTTTTCGCATGTGCAGTTGTCAAAATGGCCGCAAACTATATTAGTAGTGTTCCAAAACTTGTTGGGCGAGAAAACTTCCGACAAATTGTGTTTTGCAGTTGAGAATGTGTTTGTTCTCGAAGGTTTAATAAATTGTCTGGATGGAACAGAAACCGATACCACGCTTGTAGCTGAAGCAAAAGCGAAGTTAGTTCCAAACATAGATCCATCTTTGTATGCGGATGTAAAAAACGCAGATACTTGTAAAGAAGTATGGCAAAAAATCAGAAGTTTTTATGAAGACTTAGGATTTACCAGAAAAATAGGATTGTTACGAACTCTGATATCATTGAGATTAGATAGTTCTGAATCAATGGAATCTTATATCAACCAAGTAATGGGAACATCGCAGTAGTTGAAAAAACTGAATTTGATAACAACGACCAGTGGGTGGGGTCACTGCTGTTGGTCGGTCTGTCTGATAAGTACGCACCCATGTTGATGGCCATTACTGCAGATTCGATTAAATCCAAATTGCTAGATATGCAAACAGAGGGCCCTAGTAGTCACAAGGTAGGTGCCTTTGCGGCACGAAATGGTAACTTCCGAAACCAACCCAGAAGTGGTGCTAATTACACGAAAGGCGTTGACAAGTGGTGTCAAAGTGACAAATAAAAGGATAAAAGTAATGTTATATGCTACAGATGTAAAGAACCTGGACACTGTATGTCAAAATGTCCAAAAAAAGCTCCTAGATATGATGAAAAATATGCATAACAATTACGGCAAAAATGATTTTTATTTGGATTCGGGTGCAGCAGGCATGTCACCGAATGAAACTTGGTTTAAAAATTGCTTATCAAACACATCACAACATATTATAGCCAACCAACAAAAACTGTCAGTCAAATGTTCTGGAGATATTGGTATTGTTACAAGAGTGAACGAGGAGAACTTCAACATAACTGTGAATGATGTATTGTGTGTTCCGAACCTAACGACCAACCTTTTGTCAGTAAGCGAGCTGACTTCTCGAGGAAACCATGTGATTTTTGGTAGTGAAATCTGTTCAATTTATAGCCAGGATGATAAGCTTATACCAACTGCAGATCTAACAGATAGAGTTTATAAACTGAATTTGAAAGCAGAGCAATGTATGCTAACTTCTTGTAATGACATGGAAGTCTGGCACAGATGACTTGCTCATATTAATATCCAAGATCTAAACAAAATAAAATACTGTGTGGATGGTTTAGATTTTGAAGGAATTACCACCATTGACAGTTCAAACTGTATAGTATGTTGCGAAGGAAAACAGGTACGTCAGCGTTTTCCAACTTCAGGAACTCGAAGTAAACAGGTACTTGAAGTCATTCATGGAGACATCTGTAGACCTGTGGAGGTTATTTCCATTGGTGGATCGAAATACTTTTTACTTCACGTTGATGACTATTCTCGAATGTCCTTTGTTTATTTTTTGAAAGCAAAGAGTGAAGCTGTCGAGTTCTTCAGTCAGTTCAAAAAAATGGTAGAAAAGCAGCAAGGAAGAAACATTAAAGTTTTTCGAAGCGATCGGGGTGGTGAATTTTGTAGAAATAAGTTTGAAAGATTTCTAGCAGAAGAAGGCATTATTCATCAGAAAACGAATGCATACACTCCACAACAAAATGGACTTGCCGAAAGACTAAATCGTACACTTGTAGATAAAGCAAGGTATCTGCTGTTTGACGCTGGTATGTCCAAAAGGTTTTGGGCTGAAGCTGTTAACACATCGAACTACTCTAACTACAATAAAACACCTTTTAAAATTTGGATGGGCAGAAAAACTGATGTGTCAAACATACGTATTTTTTGCAGTATTGTTATGGTGGATGTACCTAAAGAAAAGAGGCTGAAGTTCGATAAAAAGTCTAAAAAACATTTTTCAATTGGCAATTTAAAAAATATTCGTTTGAAGGTGATTGAAAATGTTTCGTGATGAATTTCACTAGTTCGGACTTCCATTGTCTACTATATAAAATGATTTTTTAATTATTCTTTTTTACTTGTTTCAGGGATTTCAAATCATTTTATATAGTAGACAATGGAAGTCCGAACTAGTGAAATTCTTAAAAAACATTATATATAGGATATATGATTTATGACCCAGACACAGATGACATCAACAAGTAAAGATGTCGTGATATAAGAAAATCGGAAAACCAACAAATTTGAGTTGAGTACAAGTGAATCTCCAACGGAAGTATCACATCAAGTGGGGGAAACTAAATGAACGCACCTCGAATACTCATTGCACATAGTGCTATCAATGTTAATCTTTGTCATAATATTGGAACCATATTCTTGGCAACATTGTAAGATAAAATAAATATAGTCAGTCTTTTTATCGCACTGGAAGAGTGCGTGTTATTATTTTAGACTTCCTCCTCAACCCAATTTTTAAAGTTTTACAATAAGACCACGGCAAAACCCGGTAACCAACCAAAACAATTTTTCAGTGTTCATTTTGTGACCATTTGGAACAATTTCCAAAATTATTTCCAGGCGATATGCCCAATATTGCCATTGAGAGCTCATGGTCTAAAAAAACTTCTGCTAGTACTACCGTCATTCGTGTTCCCAAATAACTTCTAGTTAGCGCTTGTTCCTCTTTTTGAACGTTTCGGAGATTGTAATGAATTGTTTATCATATTTGTCTTGCTTCATATTCATCACATCATATTTATCACATCTATCTTGATTCATATTTATTACATCTGTCTTCCTGGAGACTTTTTTGTGCGCCACGGCCAAGATCTCATATGTGGTGAAACAAATGTCGCTTGAAGCCAATTGTCATTTCTGTACGGCAATCAGTCTACGTTCAATTATCATCATGACATATGACATATGACAGTTCATTTTCAGTCTTTTTTCTTTAAACTTCAGAATGATTTAACGAATTCAACCAGTAGCTTTATCATTGTCTATTTTTCCATTCATACCGTGATCAGGGTCAACTATCATCAAGTTGTAAATATGTCAGTGAGACATAGATAGCTTCAACTCCGGAGCCTTTTACAAGAAGCCCACTCATATTTCTCATCGTAAGATCAATTTAGAGATCATTTAGTAATTTTGACAATTATTTAATTGTTTCCAATCGGAATAATGTGGAGAGACTTTTATCTACCAAATGATGTTGAAAATTCAAACGGGACACATATACACATAACGTAGTTCTTTGAGTTCAATAATCTTTCAAGGCGCATGTGATTTGGAACTGTCTTCTCGAAAAAAGTTTTTTCATGAGAAATAATGAATCTATATCTACATCAATCTTCGAGTGGAATGGACAGATTTTTGAGTGAACACTGAACACTCACCCCTGTAAAACACTCTCCTCTATTCTGAAAAGTAGTTCATGAGTAATTGTATTTGTTTACTCTCCCAATTGACTCGAAGTACTCTAGGATGTGCCGATTTTATGTCATATAGAAATTTGGCAGGTGCTGGGAAAGTAATATAAAATCATACTGGGAGTGTTGGATATGACCATCGTTTCACACTTGACTTGATGCTGTTGTTGTTAATCATCCTCAAAAAAAAATGCTGGCAGCCGCTGGTCGTCTTAAATCAATTGTGACGTGGCCAAGATCGTGCGATCGTGCGACGTGCGCTTCGCGTTTCTTCTAGTTAGATGCAGCGTTGCTTCGGAAGAATAGCAAATTTCAAATAGGCTTCGAGAGGATTCGTGTTTGGTCTCAAAATCTTACTATCGAAATTATTATGTTTTTCAAGTGAATCCTAATTTTTTAGTATGCAGCCTAAAGTTGCCAGCTCTAAAGTTTGTACAACAAAACATACCGTTTTATGGCATTATCTAACTACCGATGTGGAACATTGCCATTTCTGTAAAATAATTCATTACGTTTCAAACCTTGTAAGAGTACAGTTAGAATAAATCTTGTCTTGTCTACAGTACATCTAGCTAGTTATTTTTCTTATCCTATCTTTTCACAAGAGTAATTGTAATTTTTGTGTGCATTGAGCATTTCATACTCACGATAAAACAATCGTGGGTCAAAACAATTCGATTACCATGTATAATCGCTACCCTGGCCCCTACAGGAAAGTAGTCAAGTTTGGCGGACTATTACAGAGCGATCCACTAAGGCGACAGACATTTGAATAATAGTTGGAGTTATAGTGGAACTGTTTGGTTGAATTGACAGAGAAA